TTTTTCTCCTTTCCCCCCACATTTATGCATTTTCTAGCGAGATGACAAAGAGTGGACACATCGTGTATTCATCATACATTTGAAACATAAGGTCTGGCTACATCATTTGCATCCTGATAGTGATCTACAAGCTGTTTTACCACTAATCCAATTTCCACAAATCCTACATGATAACAGCAAACCAACTCCACAAAGCGTATCCGATACTGTCACTGTAGTTCCTCATTTCAGCAAACATACCCCACAACAGCCTAAAAGTGAAATCTGGACAATATTGGTGTGCCATCTAACTAGATATCCAGTTTTCCAACCATTGCGTTCACCTAACACTAGATGAAGGTGGACTTTCTGCAGTTTTCCATTACTTATCAGGAGCTTATTAAACCTGATAATAGCTCCACTGCATTACATTTCTGTACATAACAAAACGCTCAAACAAGTAAATACCCCATCAATCAAATTATTGATATAATGCCCCATTATGGCCTATATGAGCTGAAGCCATGCTTGTTGCTGCTGCTTTATTATCAAAATGCTACATCTAAATCACGAGCTGACCGTTACTTCCGCTAACTTCGTATTAAAAATACAGAATGTCAGAGAAAGACAAATGACCTAGCAAACAGAACTGAGACTCATTAGGTCCATCTCTGTCCGCTGACCACGAAAGAAAAAAAAAATACTCAAAACTGACAGAAGTGAGTTTTAACGACCCAGTAAATCAGGATTGGTTTGACCACAGGCCCCTGATAATAGATGTGAGCGCAGTGTTTACTGGTGCACGATGAGATGTGCCGTTCAAAAGTGGCCGACCGTTAGTGGACTCACCTTCTCTCTCGCTCGGTGGGACACGGGAGTGGTCGGCCAACAAGAAGACAAGTTAATCTGAGCAAAACCTCTTAAGTCTTCATCCTGGCAACACAGGGAAAGTGGCTTCACAGCATGTTTTGCTATTTATTCGCTTATTTTGTTGGATCTCCGATGTTTGTGCGATAAAATAAATCGTCCTCCTGTCGTAACTTCCTTCTGTTCTGTCACAGCGTGTCACAGATGTGTTAATTATTGAATGTGTGTTTTCTTCTCTCGACTGCTGTGAGATCGCTTACAACAGTTTGCTGTAACCCGATTCTTCCTCCTCCTCGTAAAAAAAAGTTTCAAACCTGAGGGGGACCTGGAAATGAACAGATTGATGGTTGCTTGGGCCAATGAAGCAGTAAGCAGATGAGTGGCCCAGCCCAATCAAGCCTAAAGAAAGGACCTTTTGCAGGCAGCACATTCCCTGCCCCCATTAGGGCTGCCAGTAATTATCCTTGTCCAGTTCCCAGTTCCCAGTCCCAAGGCTGAAAGTTTCCCAGAGGAAATGCTTTTAGGGGAACAATGAGCAGGAACTGTGCAAAGCAAGTTTTCTGTCATTGAGAAAACGATATACTGGCTCGTTAAATTATGAATACAAAATACATTTTGTACAGTAGTTCATCCCCATTCAACATTCTTATAAAATGTCATAATGTGCATGTCATAAATATTTAGTTTGGTTTGTTAGAGGACACTGTCTGTTGGTTGTTGTGTGTGTGTGTGTGTGTGTGTGTGTGTGTGTGTGTGGGAGAGAGGGAGAGAGAGAGAGAGCGCGCGCGCTTTTGCCAGCGGATGTTTGCAGGACATGGGAAGTTTTTTTCAACTGTCTAATGACGAAACAGGAATCCCCCTGGGTAAAAATAGCTTTACATTGTCATTTTAACACGCAGGTGATGCTATAGTATTTAAATTACACTACAAGTTTTAGTCCTATTGGCCTATTGGCAGGAAAGTCAGTAGTTGTAATAAACTATACCCCATAAACTAAGCATATCACCTTACATTGTTAGGTTTAAGTAGGTATTGTGTTGCTAGAAGTCTGTCAAAAATACAACAGGCTGTGTAGACACCTGTAGTACTGACATTAAGCTAAAGCGCCCTCTGGTGGTGTAATGTGATTAGTAGGCGACATAAGTGAAAACTCACTTGAAGTGAGGACAAACAGTATATGCAAAAAGTGCTTGAAATCTGCAAAACGTCTGCATGCCTTTATCAAAACACAAGAGCAAATACAGAAATATTGATTCCAGTATTTTCATATATATATAAATAACATTTAAACCATTTGCGTAAATAGTTTTTTCAGAATTAGTACTAGGTCTATTAGGTTTAATATTAGTTCCCTGATAGACTAGTGGTTTGGGCGCAAGCGCTGTCGCTGCTGCCCGGGTTCGAGTCAGGGCTGTGCCAAGTTGGGCATCCGGTGTAAAACACGTGTCAAATGTCAACATGCGAATCGTCAGTGTGACGATTGGCTGTGGCGACCCCTAACGGGAAAATGACATTCATAATATTAGGTTTAAGATTACAACAAGCAAATGTTTTCTTTTTTGAATAATCTGCCTGTTATTTTACTGATTGATTGATAAATATAATTAGCTATAAAATACCTGAAAATTGTAAAACTATCCATCACAATTTCCCAGAGCATCAGCTGATGCCTTTTGCCTGATGAGTCCAGATCTCTAAACTATTCCCTGTACAATAGCATAATACAAACAAAGCAGCTAATTTTAGCTCTTTCAAAGTTAGACTGGTTGCAGTGAATGATCTGTTGACTGACTAACTGAGAAACTGATCAATTTGAGCTCTAATTACATTAACACATTGGTGTTCATGCCTTTGCAACTTATTAGATCATTCAGTATAGTTGCCTATCATTTTAAGCACCACAGATAGGTCTTAGGCTGGACTACCAACCACATAAATCGGCAGCTACTGGGGGCCCCAATCTCCCAAACTCCCAGATTTACTTTATATAATTTCATTCATTTTCTACCGCTTAGTCCCTGAACGGGGTCACGGGTGGGGCCGGAGCCAATCCCGGCCGGCAATCGGGCGAAGGCGGGGTACACCCTGGACAGGTCGCCAATCCATCGCAGGGCTAACACATAGACGAACAACCACACATACACGCACGCACTCCTATGGGCAATTTAGAGACACCAATCAACCTAAGCTGCATGTCTTTGGTCTATAATTTGAGTTTCATAATGTAATTAATCAGAGATACTATGACAGATCTTCCAGTGTTTTCTAGAAGAACTTGGTGTCAAATTCTAGCTTGATGACTTTCAGTATTTTAGTTTGTATCCTTTATTTATATTGTTTGGATTTATTGTAAAGCTCACCTGTCATTTAAAGCTAAGAAGTAAGTAGCCTAGTAAGTAGTGTAATGAACACCTAAAAATAATGCTGTAAATTTGATATTAAAACAAGTAAAGTGATACACAATAGAGTACCCACACCTATGCGGGAATATTGTTATTTTTTTTACAGCGTGTCACACTTTCACATTACAGAGTCACACTTTCACATAAGATATTTGATATGTCTATATTATTAAGTTATCCCGAAGTAAACCTCTGCCTGCCCGCCTGTCTTCAAGTTCTCCTGTGGTTTTGTTGCTGAACTTCATCTCCCACAAGCCTCGGTACGAAACAGGAAGGTGACGTATTTTTGCTACGTGTCCGGACATTCTGTGGTCAACATGGCGGGGCAGCAGAGTGATGTTGATGAACTCTTCGATGTGAAAAATGCATATTACATTGGCAGTTACCAACAATGTATTAACGAGGCTCAGAAAGTGAAGGTGCGTGATGTATGCTAATGGTTTAATGTTTTGATATGTCCATTTTGTACCGTTCTGGCTAAAAGCAGCCGGCAATGCATTTGCGAGCAACATTGCTAAATATGTTAGCTAATGTTTCTGTGGGTAAACATTAAATAGGGAAGCTAACGTTTGAGCTTGTGATTTGTCTTTGTAGCCGTCATCACCTGAGAAAGAGACTGAAAGGGACGTGTTTTTGTACAGAGCATACATCGCTCAGGTAAGCCTAAGTACGATTTCACTCCAGCAGAAAACATGTCACAGTGAGCTCAGTTTCGTGTCATTAGCTAGCAGCTAAATGTTACTGTAACATCCCATTCACTCCCTCTGTAGCCTGTAGATTCTCGCGGGTACCGTAACATTATGTTCTTAATTCTTAAAAACAGGTTCATCCCCGAGCTGCTGTGTTCTGTGTTATTTCAGAGAAAGTATGCTGTTGTCTTGGATGACATCAAGGGCAACTCTCAACCTGAGCTTCAGGCTGTCAAGATGTTTGCTGAGTATTTGTCCAGTGAAAGCAAAAGGTGAGATCTTACATTTAGCTCTGCATGGAAGGAGCCCGGCGTTGAATGATATGGCTAACATGTACGCATTTTGCGAGTGCATTATATACACTGAACAAAATTATAAACAACACTTTTGTGTTTGCCCCTATTTTTCATGAGCCGAACTCAAAGATCTACGACTTGTTCTGTGTACACAAAAGGCCTATGTCTCTCAAATATTGTCTTCATCTGTTAGTGAGCACTTCTCCTTTGCCGAGATAATCCACCCACCTCACTGGTATGGCATATCAAGATGCTGATTAGACAGCACGCTTATTGCACTGGTGGTGCCTTAGGCAGGCCACAATAAAAGGCTGTCTCTGTGCATTCAAAATGGCATCAATAAAATGCACCTGTGTTCATTGTCCATAACCCCACCGCCACCATGGGCCACTTGATCCACAACGTTGACATCAGCAAACCGCTCACCCACACGACGCCATACAAGCTGTCTGCCATCTGCCCTGTACAGTGATTCATCCGTGAAGAGAACACCTCTCCAAAGTGCCAGACGCCATCGAATGTGAGCATTTGCCCACTCAAGTCGGTTGCGACGACGAACTGCAGTCAGGTCGAGACCCTGATGAGGATGACGAGCATGCAGATGAGCTTCCCTGAGACGGTTTCTGACAGTTTGTGCATCTCAGCAAAGGAGAAATGCTCACTAACACAGATGAAGACAATATTTGAGACATAGGCCTTTTGTGTACACAGAACAAGTCGTAGATCTTTGAGTTCAGCTCATGAAAAATGGGGGCAAACACAGAAGTGTTGCGTTTATAATTTTGTTCATTGTAGATCCTAACTATACGTTTATTTCCACTTAACTGAGATTTTTTATTTTATTTTGTGCAGTTAAGGCAGATGACTTATTTAAAAGTGCATTAGGATTAGTGCAATATACTCGAGTATTCTCATTAGAATTATAGAATTAAAAATGTGTGAATTGTTTCTTTTTTGAGCAGGGATATTATTATTGCTGACCTGGATAAGAAGATGGCAAAAAGTGTTGATGCCACCAACACCACCTTTCTCCTCATGGCTGCTTCCATCTACCACCATGAGATGAACACGGATGCTGCTCTCAGGACTCTGCATCAAGGAGAAAGCCTGGAGTGGTAAGAAAGATTTTACTTCACATAGTTACAGCATGATTGTGTTCATGATCCAAACTGATTTCAACATGCATTAGCAAAGAAAATGAAATATGTTACTTTCTGTAAAACACAAATGACTTCCATTGGAACTTCAACAAAGATGACAGAGCAAATTTGTTTTATCTTTGTTCCTTGAATTAAAATGTCAATCAACCACACAGGTAATGTGTACATAAATATAAAAATTGCTAAAATAATTAACATGGGATGCACAGTCATTTTCAATGAGAAAGGTGCATTCTGACAAAGCAGGCCAACTGGTCCAGCATAAAATGGAAAGTACAGTGACTGTAAAAGTATTCACCCCCTTGGATGTTTATTTAATTGACATTACTTTGTAGAAACCTGTTTTCACTTTTATATTAAAGAGGTTTTTTTGTAATTTTTTTTTGTCAAAAAAGCCAAATTATAATAACCATGATTGATTTATAAAATCAATAAAAGGGTAAAACATCCAAGGGGGTGAATACTATTTATAGGCACTGTATCTGTAACTATAGGTTATGCACTTGTATTTGTGTTTTACCACATTTCACTGTACAGACAGAGCAATGATCAAACAATTGTCAAATGTACGCAGTTGTTCAGACATGCTTTTTTAAACTTTCTTCTTAACTCACTATGCTATCAAATGTACCCAAACACAAGGGTCATATGTTAACATGAGTAAGAGAGAACTAAATCTGCATTTTGAAGTGATTATACTCTGAAGCACTTTGTTGAGCAGTTTGTTACCTGTAACAGAAACATGGAGGAAAAACCAATATCACAAAGGAGAGTGTGGTTAGAAGACATTAGCATAAAATTGACCCAAATCATTGGTTTATTTTTCAGCATGGCCGAGACCATTCAGGTGCTGTTGAGTCTGGATCGTGTTGACCTTGCGAGGTATGGAGTAGTGTAATGTACTAAAGCAGAAGACATTAACAGTAGATGATTTGCATTTAATTGTTAGGTCATTGTTGTTATGTGAAAGCTTATGAAAAACATTCAGGTGGCTTTTTAATGTGTTTAGTAATGTCACATAACAGTGGACCTACAGTATGGATGGTTAAGACTGTTTGCTCAATATTGAAAGGCAGACAGGGCACACAGCATGTATACATGTAGACAGTAAGACGAAAGAATGTTCTTTCTTTTTTTAACTGGGGCTGTGTTCTTCTAACAATGATGAAATTACTCTCTTCTCATTAACAGGAAAGAACTAAAGAAGATGCAGGAGCAGGATGAGGATGCTACTCTAACCCAGTTAGCCACAGCCTGGGTCAATATCGCTGTGGTGAGGAGACAAGCATTCAGTCATTTGTGTAACATTACCAGGGTATTTAGCTGATTTATCAGTATATGTTCTCTCAACACTCTGTACATAATGGAGTGAATTGACTAATGTATCTGTACACTACTAATTTTTACATTCCTATTCTTCAACATCAAAGTTGGAGTGTGAATGGCTGAAGCTGCAGTCAGGTTTGAAATAGGTAGCAGGAAGAAGAGTATGTAGTAATTCTTGGTGTAGTGCAAGATGGACAGTGAAATTGTTCAAACTACAAATAATAGTGCCTCCTACTGTTGAGAAGCAGTAGGGTACCCCTGACACCATTAAAAGAAAATAAGCAATCACACAGCAGGGTTTATGACTTTGCAGCATGATTACTGACTAACACTCAGATTACATTTCTTGTCTACATTTTATTGCAGTCTGCTTGTTGTTACAGGGTGGAGAGAAGCTGCAGGATGCCTACTACATTTTCCAGGAGATGTCAGACAAGTACTCCTCTACACTACTGCTTCTCAATGGGCAGGCGGTCTGTTACATGGCTCAAAATAAGTGGGAGGAGGCTGAGGGGGTGCTACAGGAAGCACTTGACAAGGTTAGATGACAACTGATTGATTTGTTTTTGTTTTCCTCTCTTATACATTAAGTGAAATACTGAACACTGTGGTATACTTAAATGGACAGTTGTTTGTTCTCAGTTAAAGCTCTAGGTGGATTCCTTTTGAGACTGGTATTAGATTAATATCTTTTATAATTAAATCCTTAGTGAATGCCTGCTAAACAGGGGAGTTGTGCCAGGGGTGCTATAAAATATGGATACAGGCTTAAACCTCATTACAAGAAACATCCAGAATGATTTCAGAATAAGCAAGAACTAAAGGGGGAGGGGGGTATTATAGGAAATAAGAAGTGTCTAGTCTTTGCGAGGCTTTGTTTTCATTTATATGCGGTTAAACTATGAAGATGATAATCCTGCTTATTTATACATAATGACAAATCAACTTTTCAACAAGCCAAGCTGAACTTCCCTTTCAGTTTGAAATCACAGTTTGAAACTAATGATATTCATTATGCAGCATTTTAAATAATGAGGGTGAGTCATGTCACATCGACTCATCACAACGTGGCCATATCGCACATACCTGCAATCCCTCACCCCCCTGATCAGTGTAGCCCCTTGCGTTAAAACACAGCAAAGAGTTGCATTTTTACTGGGTCAGTCTGAATGCCCACTAAGGAAAGTGTGCACTGCAAGTTCACAATATATAACTACAACTAACACTATCTGTTTTTCACTATCATGGCTTGACTGAGCATCATTATACCATCCTAACTGGTTAAAATGTTACAGAACAGGGGTTACCCATTGCTGCTATTTTCACTAAAGAAGACTTAACAGGAGTGTGGTGTGACTTCAAAGTCAACGCTGACATTCAGACATGATCATACATATGATTTTGTGGTGATCAGTGGGATAAATAAAAATTCTGTTTCTTACATGAATGTATAAACACTCTTTTAGACTGAGACTTCCACTTTTGTGCAAGATGTTAACATTAGACTGAGTCATAAAAGCTACCTGCGCTCCCTGTTGTCTAACGGAGAAAGTGAAGGTCATTTCATTCAGTTATTTGTCTCAGTAAGTGACAAGAAATGGTGCTGAACAGAGTGTACTGTTCTCTTTCACTGGCTAGTTTCCACTTATTCAGTTAACTTTCTTAGCTTTCTGTTCATCTTTGTATTTCTGTCATCTCCTTTACAGGACAGCAGCCACTCTGAGACGCTGATCAATCTTATAGTACTCACTCAGCACCTGGGCAAAGCTCCCGAGGTGAGTCTTTGGACTCAGAGCTGTTAACCAGGGCACTGCTTTAACAGCAATCCATTTTGCAGTTTCCTGTAGACAGACATGTCTTCCTTCAAAGAGGACTTAAGATATCAGAGTCTAAAATGCACTTCTCATTAATTTTGTGTGTTTGATTTGGTTAAGTCGGGCAAAAGCATTCAACAAAGCAATTTGTTTGCTTTTGTCTTCTATCATTAAATGTATTACCTAAGCATATTGCCAGGTTTAGCACTGTACCTGGAAGTCAGGGTTCATGAGATAAAGACTCAACTGAACTTGATAGTAAGGCAATACAGTGTTGATAGTAATGCGATACAGTTGTCTATATCTAAGCTAAACATTGTCAGTCCTTATGGTATATGGCTCCCTGGCGAGGACTTCTGTACTCTGAGTATCACCAGGTCTTAAAGTTTCACAAATGAACACACGGCTTTTTGAACACAACTGTACAAAGATGAACAATATTTAAACATCATGGCCTTGGTCAGTATAGTTGATCATATTTGATTGACGATGACCAGAACACGTACACAAACCATCCCATAACTGTAATTAGATTTTGAGTGACAATCACCTTTTTTCCAGCCTCATTCACTTCAAAATAGTGAGAAGAGCACAGTCAACAAAAGAATTAGAGAGGTATCTCGTGAAGAGGACAAAACTGTTTTAGCAGAAATGTGTTTATGAGCTCTGTAAAATAGATTTTATGGTTGATAAACTTTCATAACTTTTATTTAGTTTTAAAGGCTGTAAAAATTTCTTTTCAGTCTTAAACATTTACTGTTGTCAATTTTCTAACTTCTGGGTGATCCGTTTACTTCTATTTCTGTCCACAGGTAACCAATCGGTACCTCTCTCAGCTGAAAGATGCACACAGAGCCCACCCATTCCTCAAGGACTATTTAGCCAAGGTGACTTGCTTGTGTTCTGATGTATGCTATTCAGTTATTATATGTTGAAATTGCAGTACAAGGTTGTTGTTTTTTTGTTTTTTAATTATGTCTTTGAGCCATTCATTATTAACTACTTTGCAACATTGCTGCTGTGAATGCTTTTGAGTTTTAAAAAGAGCAAATTAGATATTGAAAACAAGTCACAACATGGATAAGGAGGGATGCCTTTGACCTGTGGCCAGGGCTGTTTGGGCTCACAAGATCCAATCAGTTATTGGCAAGCCTATATAACCTTTTATATAATTTATTACCTGGCTAGCTTGATTTGATGGTCAGGCAGATTGTCGTTGGAACAAAGCCAATGAGAGCATTAAATTGAATCTTTAGCCTTTGTCACATGTTGTATTGTAATTCCACAACAACACAGATATAGACACACACATGATAAAACAGGGTTATATTGTTACCAAACATGCAATGCACAGCTGTTCCTATGGTCAGATGTTTTTCCTGGTGTTTATCTGTTTCCTTTGTTTTTCTGCAGGAGAATGAGTTTGACAGACTAGTGATGCAGTACGCTCCCACCGTCACAGCATAAGATAATGTGCTTCTGCTGAGACGCCTCAGCAATGGACATCTGTTTAACATCATGAGGATAACACTCTCTCTATCAGTCTCTCACACATACCTGTATTTGTTTAGATATTTTTACTCGCAAAACAAAAAAGGGTTTAAAAGTAACGTGGCTATATTATTTAAACCAGACAAGTCATCTTTTCCCTTGGAGCTAGATGAATCCTATCTGTCTTTATCTATTCTTTATACATTTGCAGTTCCCCTAATGGAAATCAGCCGAACTGTTTAATGTAAGCATTCCTTTGTCATGATAATAAATCTACTATTTGAGCTCTGTTTAAGATACAGTTTTGTAATAAAGTTGCTCTACATACAGACACCATGAATGAATTACCAAAGGGCAACGTTGGCAACTACCCAGGCACTCTATACCCCTCTACATTTACTCCTACATAAGTTGATTAATTACAGATCACAGCTTCTTCTTCTTCTTTCGGCTGTTCCCATTAGGGGTCGCCACAGCGAATCATCTGTTTCCACCTATCGGCATCCTCTACTCTCACACCAATTAACTTCATGTTCTCTTTTAGCACATCCATATATCTCCTCTTTGGCCTTCCTCTTGCCTGGCAGCTCCATCTCCAACATCCTTCTACCAATATAACCACTATCCCTCCTCTGCACATGTCCAAACCATCTCAATCTGGCCTCTCTGACCTTGTCCCCAAAACAGCCGACCTGAGCTGTCCCTCTGATGTGCTCATTCCTAATCCTGTCCATCCTGGTCACTCCTAAAGAGAACCTCAACATCCTCATCTCTGCTACCTCCATCTCTGCCTCTTGTCTTTTCCTCACTGCTACAGTCTCTAACCCATACAGCATAGCTGGTCTCACTACTGTCTTGTACACCTTTCCTTGGATTCTTGCTGACACTCTTCTGTCACACAACACTCCTGACACCTTTCTCCACCCACTCCAACCCGCCTGCACTCGCCTCTTCCCCTCTTTCCTACACTCCCCATCACACTGGACTGTTGACCCCAAATACTTAAACTCCTGCACCTTCTTGACCTCAGCCCCCTGTAACCTCACTGTTCCACTTCCCTCCCTCTCGTTCAT